ATTTTATTAAATATTAATATATTAAAATATATAATGGTTTTTAAATTTAGATATTAATATTTAATAAGATAAAATTTTAATTTTTAAATATAAATTATAACTCTAATTATTTTTAAAAATCAAACCCGATACACTAAACTCTTTTTTCAACATGTAATATTTATTAAACAATTTTATTTTATAAAAAAATATTTAAATTATTATTCATATATTTAAAAAAAATTATCACAAATACATTTATCATGAAAAGTGGAATCGATTAGAGGTTGTAGCATTACCATCCCACCATCAACATCAACATTAACTGAGAAAACAAAAGAAGGAAACAAGAAAGCTTTACAATCAATAACCAACTCTGACCCACAAAAAGGAAAATAAAAAGAAAGAAAGAAAGAAGAAAAAAAAAAAGGGAATTCTAAAAACAAAAATTAAACAGCAAGTCTTCTTCATAGAATTACTCTCTTGAGATTTCGCTATTTTTTCTAATTGTCCCCAGAACTGATTATTTCAAATGCAACACAAAGCCCAAAATACCATAAAAATGCGCGCATGTTGTGTAGAGAGAGCATTATAGACATTAAACCAGACAATTGTTTCAGTTGAGAAGATCTTGAAGGTGCCACAGTATAAATCTTCAACAAACCTAGTCGAAATCCTATATATTACACAGAGAGATATGGTATGTGAAAATATCGAACTCCTTATGATTATTCAGGTCAAGACTTGTAAAATTAAACATTATTAGGTCAAATTTGAAACAAGCAAATTCAAATGTATAGGTTATTATGTACTAACTTAAAAAAAAAACAAAGTTTATAATCTTGAACAAAGTTAGTCAAGATCAATTATATAAATATTGAATTAGTTCAATATTTATGATTATCAAGTTAAAACTTCAAAATTAGAGATTATTAAGTTAAATTCAAAACAAGTAAAGCATAGTTTCCAATTACGTGGTATATGTGCTAAAGACAAAAGGAAAGAACACAAGAATATAAATCTAACTCTATAGGGGGAGAAATGAATTAAATTAGCAAAGGGGGAGAAGGCAACACTAACCTGGGCATGTTTTGCTTTAACATAAGGGGTGTCGCCCTGAGGAACTTTGTGAATAACATGGAAAAGCTCTTCTTTCCTCTGCCCACTTCCCTCTTCCATCTCTTTCTCTTTCTCTTTCTCTCTCTCACTAGAGCTCCACTCTTTAATTTATATACACTGCTGATTTGAGGGAAAGGGGAGTACTTATTTTTTCCCTTATTGAAGGATACGAAATGGAGGGGGTGCAATCATAGGGGAAGAATGAATCTCGACTGCCTGCCGTCTATGTACAGCGTCA